ACGAACTATAGTTACGTACAGTGGGGTCAGGTGATCTTCGAGCGAAGAGACCGCAAGAATCGTAAAGGAATTATAGTTTGGCACTGATACCCGTCAGCTTGAACTCAACACGCTCGCGTTTAGCTAGGAAGAGCTAACCACTGGGAAGTCACGTGTACCGAGGTTCGATCTCTCCGCGAGTGGACTTTGTGGCACGCGAGTATCCACCTTGGAACGCTTTGATTCCGCCATTTCTCAAACGTCTCTCGCGTCCAGCAGACCCTTAAGAAAAAGAAATAGAGGAAGAAAAATAAAAACTACAACGTAACTACGAGACAATTCGCTGATATTCGCCCACCATTCTGTCCACCCTACGATCCCCTTCGCGATACATTCTTCCCAAGATATTAAAGGCTCCACTTCCGGCACCAGTTTCGAACAACGTGTGGCTGTGGTCCAGACTTACGTCGGATAGTAGCAAGAACACACATTAAAATCATAGAGGATCAACGTTATTAGACGTGTCATGCGTTTGTCTGTTCGCTTGGCCTTTCCCTTTGCTTTCCCTCCAACCATTCTCACGCGATTCAGAGGACTTCGAACATTCTGTCCGTTATTGCATTCCCGTTTTCCCTCGCTTTATCATCCCTCATCCCGTTTCTCTCGACCACGATAACTCGTAAACAATGTAGATACCTACGCACGGATCGATCGAGCATTCTCCCCCATTTCCGTCTGTTTCGTCTCTTCTCGAGAACGTTCCCCGCAATTTTCTTTCACGTTAAAATGCCTCTTCGGAAACTGGTTGAGGTATCGCACGTCCAAAACGAGCACACATGTCATGGTTTATCGATATAATTGTATAATATGTGCTATTAGATCTTTCATGCGCGGTCGAGGCTCACGAAGCCTCGAGAGATTCCTCTGCCTCGTCGAGCGTGCCATTTTACCCATTCTTTTCTTTCTCTCTGTTCTAGGTCATCATCCTCGAAGAACAAATAGGATGCATGGATCCCTCTCGTGGACGTCGTTCAAGCGAAAACGTTGTCCGCGGTTAGCATGGTCGCGTGGAAATCGGCGAATCGAACTCTCGTCGAACGAGAATTTAAAATACTCATCCAGATAGATTGGTCAGGGGAACAAAGTTAAAACACTTGGAAGATGTTCTCACAAGTGATCAGAGATTAAAATTCACTCGGTTTAAGTGCGCGTGCCACCTTCTTTTTTTTTCTCTTTAGTGGCAACGAGAAACACAAGTTCTAGTTTAAAGAGAATCCTCGAAGTTTAGAACATTGATGACGATTCTCTGGGAAAGGGTGAATGGTTTCTGCGAATTTGTGGGATTAGAGGAAGGATTTCTATGGTCCATGATCGGAACCAGCTAATTCTTGCCTTGAATTCAATCATTTTGCTTTATCTTGCTTCTTCTATCTTTCAATTACTTTTCATCCGTTACTTCTCATTAGTTCAAATGGATTATTTAAGTTCAATTATATCGTTCCTAACCAAAATCGATTCGAATGCTAGAAAGAATATTACGTTGGAGATTATGAAATATTTGATTAATCGGAATTAGCTGGTCGAGGATCGGAAGCTGTCGCCAGTCTTGCTGGAATACAGGATGAAGCTAAACGTGTTGTAAAAAAACGTACGGACTTAGTCGATGTTCGATAAACCGGTTAAATTCGTTCGAATGCTACCGCAGAGGAAACAGTTTCGCTTGCAGGTGGGCGGAAAACGATTCGCTCGACGTGCGATGTTCCCTTCCATAAGTGTCGCGAAAACTATTATTATGATCATCATTAACATCGTGTATCGTATTCGATAGTATCGATGATCATCGTAATAATTAGTAATAATAACGACAGTAATAATAATTCATAATAATAATTCATAATAATAATTCATAGTAATAATCCATAGTAATAATCATAATTTTAATTAATTAATTAATAATATATAATATAATATATTAAATAAATTCTCCGATATAACTTATGTCTTAAACTTAAAGCTTAGCTCGACTTACGATTTAAGTATCCGCGCCCCCATTTTTTTACGCGCGCGGAGGGATCGTTACGCACGTGCATCCACCAGGGCGAACTTCTTAAGAATCTAATGAATCCTAAAACCGGAAGCTCCGCCGTACCGACAGGCCAGCTGCCTTAAAATTTTTCATCTTTTATTTTACTTTTCCCCTTTTGCTTCTTTGCCGGGGGAGCGAAACACCATCTAGCGGTCTCCGCCAGAGAGAACAGAAGGCAAAGCGAAGAAGCAGAAGCAACGTATGTACGCGATGAAAATGATTTAAAAGAGAAAATAATGTTTTCTTATATTCTTCCCTTATTACCCTCTCCCTTCTTTTTATTCTCGTCCCTTTCAAATCATTTTCATCGGCATGTATAAATTACTTCCGTTTCTTCGCTTTGATCTGCGTTCTCTTTGGCGGAGACCGCGCACGAGCGTGGTTTCCATCCTTCGTCTCTTGCCTCGATCATTACTCGCCTCGCATACAGAAAGTCGAACGACAATCTTTCTTTATCACGTTCGATTCCGAGAAGATCAACTTTCCAACCAACTACCACGCCAACTTCTCCGTACGCCTTCCATCCAGCGTCTCCGATAAAAAAAGATCGGCCATCCTACAGCGCGATGCTCTTTCTACTTTGCCCCTGCTCCGTATCTACGCGCGTCCCTTCCTTCCCCGACTTCCAAACGAACGCATACGATTCTCGCTACTCTTCGTTATCCTACCCTTGCGTCATTTATCTTACAATCATCGGTACTCTATATATAACTCGGTACTTCGTACGGTCATCCAATCTCGTTCCCAATTTCGTTCAACGTCTGTTCTTCGCGGTCCAGCACGCGCGTACACACGGAGATCCATTCGCGACTTCTACCTTCCTGAGAACGAACCTTCGTACGCGTCCTGTTCGCTCTGACGCTACAAGACGACTTTTACGTGGTGATCCAACGCAACCACGGCTCGTAGAACGGCAGAAGAAGGTCGTACGAGTCGTCGTCTTCAGGGAGGAAGAGGACAAAAGAGACGAGTGCACGACGGGCGCGCAACTCCTCTCGCGAGGTGAATATTCCGCCACGTTTTGGCCGCGAACAACAAAACGGAGCCAAACGATTCGTCGTCGAGTATCTCAAACGTCGTGTGGAACATCTGTTGCAACAACGGCTGCCAAGACGCGAGCGACATACGCGACGACGACGACGACGACGCTCGTTGTTCCCCTGATGGGTTGCTTCCTCTTCTCGAACTCCACCTCTGACACTCGCATCTCGTGGTTGGCTGTGGTGCGATGACTCTCGTTCCTCGTTGCGATGACACCTTCTTGACTCGACGAACGGCACGCTGGCGATAACAACCGGGGATGAGAGACGAGCGATGGTTTGGATTTTTCGACGGTGGCGACGACAGCACTGGGACCTTAACATCCATCCTTGCCACCTGAAAAATGTGCAACGCTGGCCTCGTCTTCGTTCCATCATGCTTTGTCGGCCGTGTTCTTCCTGAACATCGTTTACGCATATTGGTAAATATTTTGCATGTTAGATTTGAGTTTGAGTTTGCCGTTTATCGTTCACGTATCGTAGACGTAAGACCCGATGCAGACGAGCGGTACGCGTTAAATCGTTGTAGCGGCAGCGGGTTGGAAGAACGAGGAAACACCTGTGCGCGTATGTTTCTTTTGTGAGACAGAAGAACTTTGTTTCTCTGTTCTTCCAACGGCACCGCGATTGTGTCGTACGATATACGTTGTTTTCAACCGGGAGAATAATGAAAAACGTATGACGCAGCGCCAAAAAGTCTCTCGTCTGCACCCGGTCTTAGAGCGAAGGGTGAGGATAGAAGTCGAAGATTTGGGAAATTAAAAAATTTTGACTGGTTTAAACCTGCTGTCTTTTTTTTCTATCTGACTTTTCTTTTGTTTAATTTGATATTGAATTTCTTTGCGATTGGGAGGAAGATCGTAAATTTGGTGGATTGTTGTTTCTACGTTTCGTGAAGTAATATTTTTTGAGCGAATAAGAATGGGGTAAATTTAAATTTAAATTTTAAGTATGCTTGACGTGTATGAATAACAAGTTTAAATATCTAGCGTATATGTCATCATAAGCGATGATGTTTTTAGTATAAAGAGTAAGATGAAATAAACGTTGAATGATAATAGATATCTTCTCTAACAGAGAAATGTGAACGCTATTCCTATTTCTTTTTATAACATGAATATCTTTAGGATGAGTCATAAAAGAGGATAAGTACATGAGATGATACGAAAATACGTGACCAATAAGTATAGAATGAGAAATCAGATGGAACAAGTACGATAGTAAAAAAAGACAAAATTGATATTAATCGATAGATTTTTATTGTATCTTTGGAAGAAGAATGTATATTTTTTAAGGATCAGAATCTTCGACTTTCAAATAGGGTACGAATCCATGAATTAATTTGTAGCAAAGTTTATGGAATCGTGAGAATTGCAAAGGGTTTGTCTGATGTCCGGTTTCCCCAAAGGATCCAAATTTCTGGAAACTAGCTTTTCCAAGTGGTTGCTGCAAGGATCTTGCGAACGTTTATCCGATGGAGAAGCATCGCTGATGTTTAAGATCTGCTTTGGGGAACACGGAGAAATAAACGTGCGCGTAGTTTGTGCGAGTCTATCGATCTCCCTTCTACGACTCTGCAGCCTTGACGTTTAGCATGCGGTGAATTTCGCTCAAGGGATTTCAGACAAATCCTTCGATTTACTGCTGTTAACACTTGGGCAGTAAGTTAATTAAAAATGATAAAAGAACATGATAAAAAATGAAAGTTTCTACCTTGTGTATATTTTTTATATTTTTCTAATAATTTTTCTATTTCAATTTTACTTAAGCCATCGTACGTAGGAAAAGAAAAACAATCAAAATTTAGGTTGCGTTCGTAAATTTTACCTTTTTTAATTTTTATAATTTTGAACCATTATGGCTAAAAAAGAAAAATAATAAAACAGCATATTTCTTCTTTAAATATTCTTTTATTTCTTCTTTTTATACTCTTTTCAAATTTTTAATCGCCAAAAGATTGACAAAGGGAAATCAATGAATAAGTTATGTAATATTTGGTTTTTAGTGAAAAATATATTTGATTAGTGTCGTGTCTTTTTTCAAGGGACTCGTCATTCTTAATCTTTTCGTTGCAACGATAATCTTATTAGCAGCTCTGTGGCAGTTAATGGCCGTCAAATGCTACTGATTGTTTCAAAGGGTGGACTATAAACGGCAGCAACTACTTGTCTCTAATTTCGTTTAGCAGCGGACAGTTACCGTGAAGACAATATCGCTCAAACTTTGATAAATGTTAGCAAGTTTGGCGGAGTTTGTAATTCGAGGAGTGAGAGCTGCAGCCTCGTCTGCTCCTGATATACTAATTTGTATTTCTAACGAGGAACAACCCGCTCCTACACAGTTCCCATTAATTACAACGTCAACGGTATTTTTATTACCAATTGTAATTTAATTCTCGAAACTCAACTAATTAAACATTATTAACTCAGCATAATCGTAAGAAAAAATTTGAAAGATATTATTCCGTCCGCTGCTAAAGGAATATTACGGTAAATCGCAACTATTTATTCTACAATATAAGAACAAATAATAATTATATCAGGAGAGTATTTATAAAAATTCTGAATATCGAGCCTTCCTGATATTTGTAAAAATGTTAAACTTGAATGTCACACGAAATTTATAGAAACGCTAAATTCCGAATCTTTTGGCAAATTGATAAAAATTCTGAATTTTCGTTTCTTATGAAATTTATTGACAAATTTAAAGTCGTTAATCCTTCAAAAATTTCTCTAAAATATTAAAAATTCTATTCTTGCGGCATCGAAAGGATTAAAAAAATCCTATCGTCGAGGGATGAATATCGGAACATCAACAGCGTGTTAACGAGGGACGATGTTCATCAGGAAGAACGATTCGGCCAACAAAGTGTTCTCCGCGGGTCGATACTCGAGCAACACGCAACAGGAAGCTGTGAATCCACGTGTCGCCAATGGTACCACCTTTTCCAGGTTAGTTGTAACCCCGTGACCCACGTGTCGAAGTTAATCAACCACGCGACAAAGGGTGAGAACAGACAAGTCAGATATATATATATATGTTACATATGTCTGAAGGTGCGTATCGTGCGTGATACCGTAATCGGTGTACAATTATCGAGCTGTTTTCGTTACAGTTTTCGATACACATTCACTCGTGGAACTTCTTACGTTCATTCTTCGATATCATCAACTCTTTCCAACAAAACAAACTTTCAAACGCCTGAGCAAGATACTACTGAAGTTCTTTTATTGATCATAATAATGATCGTAATATACATTTTTAGTCGCTCCTTTCGTTCCTTTATATCCTTCGAATGCTCGATCCGATCAATCGACCAACGAGTTATCGTTTTCGACACATCCAACGACAATCGCTTGCCGATCTTCCTCGTGGATCCTGTGAATTTTGCTACAGTACGACTCAAGATAGTTACAGAGAAGTCGTAAATTGCGTGTATATTATAAAGCTGTTATACAGAATCCGACCGAATAATACGTAAAAGTGGGCACGACGCGATTCCTCATGGAAAAATAAGAAAATAATATAGAATAGAACTTTCTCATTTTCGGTTCAGTTTTCGAGAAAATCGAGTATGAAAATTTACCAGATACATTTGAACATGTATTGAACATGAATCCTGTCGGTTATTTAGTCATGTTCAGTGAGGGATTAGCCATGTTCAACATATACTTGATAAATTTTCAAACTCGATTTTCTCGTAAACCAAGCCGAGAACGACAAAGTTCTACTCTATATTCTTTTCTTATTCTTCTACAAAGAATCACGTCCTGCACACTTTTGCATGTCATTCTGCTGCACCCTGTATATAATAACTATATTATAAATATTATCGCGTTAGTAAATTTTATAAATCCGATAAATTCTATAAATTTTACAAAATCTCAGTGTATTTAAACATAGATTCTATCAAATCTTATAATGTAACATTACGATGAAATATGCGTAGAATGAAAAGATAGCATGTGTGATAGGAGAGTCGGAATTGGGGATTAATAATCTGAATATTATCGACAATACTAGCTGCGAATGAGACAGTCATTCTACTTTCTTATAATTCAGTACAGATAGATAATGGACTTTTAATTTTATAAAGAAATTTTGCCAATCCTTCATATAATTGTAGATTCGCATCCGAAACATATTTAGCTTTTTCCATTTTCTCTAGATATATATATCTCAACACTGACTACAGTGTTCATCGATTATGCTAGATTTGTTGTTTTCTGTGTATACCTACAACTAATTCCTCAACATCTACTTTATTCTCTTTACAATATATTAAGTTTACACGCGTTAATAACTTTCTCTATATTATCATTCTTATGGCACACAGCTTTCTTCAACGAACTTCGGCCCGGACCTGCGAATATCCAATAGTATGTATTTAATTCTTAACTAGCTGTGAAGCCTTTACAACCTTGCTATATCGTGATTCGTACCTATATACATATATACATATATACATATATACATATATATATGTATATATGTATATATCAACAGGACCAAAGGATCGAGAATCCAAATTTAAAAAGAGCAAAGATAGAAATCAAAGGAGAGAGAATAAAAACGCTCTCCCTGTCAGGATCATCCACGTGGGTGTGATGTGTACCTTGATTGGACGAGTGTGAGGCTCACGATTGCGGTTGCGGTGTGTTGTGGTCTCGCTTGTCTGCCGCAGGAGCCGGTGGCTTTATCACGGGCTTCTCCTCGTTTACCGGCGTGAGCGGGGCGTCCTTTCTTGGCGGCATCCTTTCGTTTATGGCATCCAAACCTTTCGCCTCGGCGAACGAGGTGATTTTGTGGTTCGGCGAGAAACCTTGCAGAGCTGTCAACAATAATTTCACGAGTCGTCATCAACCGCTATTCGAGCGGAACGTTTCAAGGGTGGAGTATGAATAACGCAAGAAAGAAGAGAAAGTTCGGTGAAGAGAAGATGTTAAAATTTCGACGAGGGGAAAATGGAGCGAAATTCTTTTGTCAGAGAAATTCTAATTTACCGGATGATCGTTTCTTTCGATCGTTAATTATGATCGTTGATCAACGATTCTTACTCGTTAAAAATAACTGGTATCGAGCTATGCATTAGCAAGCTTTGCTACCATCAACGATGTTCAACAATTAGTAGTTCACTGAGCATGTCCACGAGCTGTACCATAAATGTGACTATGTATTACGAGACTGTGTACTTTGACTATGTCCACTAAGTGTATCAAGCACCCTTGACTATCCGTACTAATTGCACGTTATAAATACGGTTATGTACCACAAGATGACAACAACATCCTAGATAGTACATTACAATAAAGTAGGGATTAATTTATTCTTCCTGAATCTATTAGAAAAATATCGTTTACCATTAGATCAGCTGTTGCAGAAGATCGCTCTATTTACATGTAGTTGGTTAGAAACGAAACTCACCGTTCTTTAGGGACGTCTTTCCACCTGATAACGCACCAAGAGGTAAAGCGCCAGTCGGCGTTAAACCCTTCAGCTGCAACACACTCTCGCTCTCCTCTCTGAAAGACGAACCAATCGACAACAATTAGCACCGCGTGAAAATAAAGGAGGAAAAAGAAGACAAAAGATGTGAAAGTAATGGTAATCAATTTCTCTCTTGATTAACTGCTCTTAATAAACGCGCTCGAATTCGCGCTAATCGTTTAGCCAGAAGCACTAAAATTTTCGAGCGAAAGTTGAGTTCGAGCAGAACGGTATAACAGAATTTTCACGCCGAGTTATCTTTCATTTTTGATTTCCTCAGAGTCTTCACAGAGAACACAGGATTGTTCTGGTGATCATCGATCGACCGTGAAACCTGGATCGACTTCTCGCAACGTTAAGCAATTCTACCGGCTCAGTCGAGGCATAATCGTTCCATCAACCGAGTAAGTTGCTACTAGAATATGGTTTGTGCCCGTGCAACATCGTCTTCTTCTTTTTTTAACGAAACTTTCGGTTGTGTGCAATTTTTATGGCTGTTACGTTGACCTACAGTTGCGATCTGGAAAGTTTTAACGCTTCTCTCCGTTACGCTAGTGTTTCTGTAGGAAAATTCTGCTCCGAATCTCTGTATTTCGACTTCTATCAACCATGCTTTGTCTCTGCCAGTCGTGTGCAGTTTTTTGCGTTTTTTCGCTTTTCTTTTTTGCTTTGTCGATGCATGTATGTAAATTTGAAACATGAAATTCCTCGTTATTTTTTTTTCTTCTTAATTCATTTTGAAAAACATTTGACCAGTTGCAAAGACTCGGGTGCAACTATTAAAATAACAACGCAACGCACGATGTATCTTCGATTTTTAATTTTAAACGCTACCTGTTTCTGCTGTAACTCTAATATATCATCGGTTAAAGATGATATTTTCTCGTTGCATTTATGAGATACATTTTTATCGATAGAAATCTAATCGGAGCTGTTTGAATAGACAAGTTTAACTGTTATTAATTAAATTTGTTTGCTGACCTGAGGACGGAGAAGACGCGCGCCATCTTGCCAATGGCTCTGATCTTGTTTCTGATAACCTCCTTGCGTAGATTGGCTGCTGCACCTAGAAAAGCGACAAGATTCAGTTAGGACGATCCGTCTCTCGATAATTTAGCTGATTCATTCTCAGTGATCCACGAAGTCGCGAAGGCACGATGCTAACGAATAGAATCTGGCGCTAAAGTTACTAGGGTCTAGTGAGCTTCTAGCATAATTTCACTAGCGATCAACTTGCGTAATTACATACTCGCAAACAGCAGTTATTTTCGAATGAATAAATATGACGATACCTATGTATCACCTATGAGTAGCTGCGTAAAGAAAAAAGAAAAAAAGAGTAAAAAGAAAGAAAAAAAAAAAAATAGTGGAAGAAATGGACATTAGCGATTTTACGTGAAGCTAAAAATATAGATGAACGATTGTGGATTTTGATTTGCCTTCGCGAGATCTCGATCACGAATTCGCCCCGCAACTCTCGTCGCGAAGTAATTCGACATTTGGCTTTTCACTACATTATTCATACAACAGCTTATCCGGTGATTATGTTATTGAAAAAAAATTAAAGGAAAAAAAATGGAAAAATGTCACTTGTTATTTTTGGGTCTCACGGCAAACAACAACGGCAAACTACAGCCAAAAGAACTCGGTGCACGCGACGAGCGAGTGCATATTAGTCTCGGTGTACAATATTTTGCTCTTTTATTTTGCTCATCTGTCTTTTTGGATCTAAATAAGAATTTATTATTTGCATAAAACTACAGGTATTAACTTTTTTTCATCCGACGGATTCATTGGAAAATTTCTTTATTCCGAACTCACTCGCGTATACCGGAAATCATCGATGTACATTGAATCGTTACAATTATCTTTCCTTCACGGATTATCGAGATCTCCTATCCGTCTCTGACCAGCGAACTGAACGATAAACGAACAGAAATACTCAACGTAGATACTTATCGAATTCTATGCAAACGAAAAGCGACGAGAGAAAAAAAAGTAGAACGATACGTGAAGAAAGAAAAAAAAAAACAATATATTAATCGATAGAATTGTTTCACCGTTTTGAATTTCGCGCGTCTCGCGGCCAATCGCTCTGACGCGTGCGCAGAAGCGATTCTTCGTGATTCTCTCGCTTTCCGAGCGAGACGTTCGTTCGTGTACGTTCTCGTTCAAAGTTCACACGAGTCTATCGAAGTTCTGTCCATTTTATTCCAGTTTTTATACCGGAATTAACAGATTGGTGACAAAGAAGTTGAAAAATATAAAGAAATCCTTCGAATCGTAATCGTATATTGAAATATAATATATATATGTATATATATACGTACATATATATTATATGCGTAAAAATAGAGATAGAGTGCACGAGGATAATAGCACAAGCTCATTGCATATTATAAATGCACGCAGCTACGTATGGGCGCGCGCGCGTGCACGTGTTACAAAACGCAAGCCGGTGTGCGAAATACGTGCGTATGTACATCGTAATAAGCAGCGACTACTAACATGCAGGCCAATGATTACATAAACCATAGGTTTTCCTCAGTTACGCGAAAAGAAGACACGGCCAATGCAAGAGAAAGAGATCAACACATGCACATGCAGGCTTTGAGCGCGGGTAAACGTACGCACCATCGGTCAACTACGGGTGCTTTTACCAGTCGCCGTTTCGTATGTTCGTCGCTACTTGCCTACTTGCTCGTTCGTATTTTCTCTTTCTTTCTTTCTTTTCTTTTTTTTTTTTTTCTTTAGTTTTGTGTTATTTAGAGCGTAGTTGTGTATATGCATGTTCGGTCGCATCTTTATGCTCGATGTTTTTCTAATCTTTAACCCGTATCCGTGTGGTAGAACTTTAGTCGTTGTATTCAAATGTTAGAATTTGAAAGCAACGAAATTTCATTTGATTGTAAGCTTCGAGTGTTTCGAATTTGTAAAGGGAATGCGATGGTTAAAGAAGTGAATGGTTTGGAACGATTAAATCTCTTTTAATCGAATATCTTGCTAATCGATTACGTGGTTTGCTTTTTGATGTTGAAAGTTTGGCTTGAAGACTGAAAGTTTTTCGACTGAGAACCACTGGTTAGTTATTGAGGAGTGACCATTAAATTAAGCCAGTCGCGAAGAGGTTTCGGTCGTGAAATCGCTCGTAAAATTCTAGGCGCACAGTTACGGGTTAAGAAGCAGACTACGGATAATCGACTAAATAAGGTATCGAATAGCCTAAGGGTCGGCCATCTTGAGTTCACGTCGACACAAAATGGTGGTCTCTTTTCGATATCGCGGTACAGTGTTTAAGGCTCAAATTCTAGAATTACATTATATCGAATAGCATCAAATAATTTCTTTATAATCTTTGATTTGACGAATATTATACTATTCTTTACATTTTCGATATTTTTTGAAAAGTTACAAATAGTTCGTAAAATCTTTCTTTGCAATTTTATTTTATGTTATTTGAAGGGAACAGGGATTAATCCTATTCATAGTCAGTAGATATTTTTTTTTTTTGAAGAAAAAAAGGAAAAATAAAAAGAAACAGACGTTTACTCTTTTTTGTTCGTTTTTAGAAGACCGAAAGAAACAAATAATATGTATACGTATGTATATATTAGTAAGTAAGAAGTCTCTAGGATTTAGCTTGTTCGTACTATAAAAGAAACAATTTCACATGAATCGACATACGTGAAAATATCGTTCCGCTGTCGCTGTGTTTCCGCTTCACTAAGCATTCGCGAGTTAAATTTGCGGATGTCGGGGCTTGTGACGCTACAGCAAATCGGGTAATTTTGTCACTTATATAGGAAAACAAGAGATTCGTTCTTGCTGATGAGATAATTGGCGAATTAGGAGATTCTACTGACTCTATCCGTTTTTTATTTCTGAATTATCGAATGGATAATTCTTATTTCGTAATGTACAAATTTACAAATTATTTTCCTTTGTCTTATTCAACTTTAAGCTATGAAATAATTTATCTCTTTTTTGCTTTTCTTAATAACAATGGAATATTCTTAATTCTTTTTATAACATCGTTTAACGATGTCAACTATGTGAATTTTGGTGGCGTGTTCGGGTCGAACATTGAACAAGGTTCAATTTCGCCAGGCCAACTGCGGATTCGCTTTAATTTCTCGTAATCCGCAATCGCGCGGCTGCGCTGCATGGAAAAGCTTTTTGCGAACGTTCTGCTGAGATGGCAGGAAGAAAACATTTCTGGAATATCCTGCGACGTCCATTTCCGCGTAAAAGCGTGGCACGAAACGTCAGCATGAATCGAGAATCTTCGTCGTCTATTCCGTTTATTTAGAACACGTGCCGATAAAAAAAAATACTAAAGAAAATAAAATAGAGGCAAATAAAAAGAAATGTGGAATTTATTTTACTTCGGTCACTTTACTCTGTTAGGTTAGGTTAGATAACGTTCGAACTCGAGAAGTTTTAAAAGTACGATCGATATTCTGGACTGTATGGAGTGTACACATTTGTCTCGTTGGTTTCAATGTGCAAATTGAACACTGGTTCTCTACATCTTAACTAAAACAAGCTTCGTTAAAAATGATATTGGGAAATATAATCTCTTGTCTGTGTGTTGTTTATGAACGTAGATAGAAGATAATCGTCGAGAATTCTTCAAATTTCTTGCAATATACATATTATATTACAACGTACACCATTGACCAAATATTTCGAATCGCGTCTCCAATTATAAATGCTGATTTTATTGTTCCTTCGAAATAAATATCGCTTGCTATCGCTATGCTTGCCTTCGAAACTAACGCTACGAATCTCAAGAACGATCTTCGTCTTTGCCTCGAAAGAATTTTCCAAGTGTCTTTTTACCTTTTAATCCGAAGTTTACCAAAGATTTTTGCTTCCTAGAACAATAGAACTCTCAGCTGACTATCTATCGAAACGATATTTCGCTGAATAATTTCTACGAAACGCGTTAGTAATTTGAAAAGCTTGGTCAACAGTATGCATCTTCTCATCTTCTCCAATGAAAAAAAGAAAATATCGTCGAAGTTAAAAAGAAGGAGAAACGTTTTTTCAACTTGCCTGATCAATAGCAACGACTGAAGCGATCTTCAACGATGTATTCTCGTATGCTTTCGCATTTGCGGTGATAAGAAAATATCGAAAGCAGGGGTGGAGGAGGATATTCAAGAAATTAGAATAAAAGGGGATGGACTTCACAGAGAGCCTAGAAAGAACGATATCTCCTCTATAAGGAGCTATCCTAACCATAGCGTGGTATTCATTTCTTTTCTTTCTTTTTGTCTTTTTTTTCGTTTTTTTTTTTTCTTTTTTGATCATTTGTACGACGTCTGACGCATTCTTCCAGGAAGAAGAGCGCACGACGAAGAGATTTCAGTGGGTCTCTGACTGAGGGGAGCAGACATTTATCGATCATCCTTTACATCCTGCGGCTTTCACTGAGAAGGACGATGCGGCACATACAACGACGTAAGTCACTACTAATTTATACAACAGATCAAGCCTTTGCTCTCTAGACATTTACGTGTCAGCGCATGATTATGCACTCGTGGTCTGTCGCAATGGGCATTACCATCGAATATTCGTCAATCTTTACGTTTTCACAATATTTACGTTAACATTAGACGCGTAACATAGTTTGGTGTCTTTTATTTCTAATTAGATCCATTCCCGATATTTTCTCATTTTTAGGGAATTTTTAAAGAAATACCATTTACAGAGATTACTTTGTTAATAGTTAACGGTAGAAAATGACTAGTCAGGTTATTTTGACTGATTGATAAATCGATAAAACTTATTGTTTTTATTCATAAACAGAATTAAATCGCACAGTTCTATGCATTCATGGCGTAAACATTAAGACGCAAAGAGCATAAGAATGTACGCAACGTTAAAGATCTACAAAACATTCGAAGTATCTGTTATAATATTCGAATGAAACAAAATCTCTGTCCCTGCTGTACTTTTTTAAATTGTTCTGTCAAATCGTTTTGTTAAAACTAATAACAAATTCTTCTATAACAATTGTTTTAAGATATAACTAAAAAAAAAAAAAGAGAAAAGGACTCTGATATTTCTAAGTAGTTTTAAGCTACATGATCGATGAACGAAATATAAATTTTGTTTAAAACGACACCAAACTAATAATTATACACACTGAATATTTCCACATTTATCAATAAATTTTATTATCAATCTCCATAAAGTCGAATATATTTCAACTTGGAAAATAATTTTTAAAACGCTCGCGTATTAACGTTTCGTGATCCATTTTGCAACTTCCAGGCATGAGAGTTTACTTTCTTGAAACGGTACAGACTTTTCTGTACTCTCGGCTCGTTGACGATTCCTTTTGACGACGCCATTGCGACAGTCTACTACCGAGCTAACATTTATCACAGGGTGTTCGAGTTTGGCACCGAGTCCCAGAGACGGAGATCCATCGTCCGTGGGGAGTATCGACGGCGTTTCAAAGGATGACGCACGATATCTGCGCGATCCAATAGAAGACCCGACGAATTGGGGAAGGGACCGTTCGATCTTAAGCAGATCTGTGCTCAAAACATATTGCACGGGCCACTAGTGCTCTATATCACTGTTTTAGAAGCGTTTCTAAGAGGCATATTTCACTCTTCGAGCTGATAAAATACATTACTTTCGTCCACCAGCAAAGAGCAAATTTCGAAATCGATCTTCTCGCAACATTTGTAAAAACATTCCGAATATTTAAACGATTCTGGTCTTAGCAAGCATAAAAAAAAAAAAAAAAAAAAGAAGAAAACGAAGATTAGAATAAAAAACCAAACCGAGCGATGAGTTTCTATCAGGCGATCTTTCTCCAATTTTACCCATCTTTAATTTAATTTTCAATTTATTTTTATTTAATTTTACATTGGATTAAAGTTCGAATATATTAACAGATTTCAGCTCGAAGGGTCGAACGTCGGTGAGAATGATCGTTTTGAATACAGGTCCAAGCGTCTATTTTATCATATGTTGATGGATCTCCGTGTCTTTCGATGCATAGGCGCCGCCACGATCAAATATTCTCCGCGAATCTCCTTCGCCCTGCCAGCTTATTTTTTTTCATAAGGTTGCGACGCCTATGGAACTCGATTTCGTCGATGCCCTCTCACGCGGATTCCCTTATCAACAGTAGGAAGCTTCACGAACCCAATGGCGCGTGATTCCGTCGAGTGACTCGTGATTCAATTATCCAACCCGGAAACTCGTCGAGTCGCTCGACGGGGAACCATTGGGCGTTGGACGTGTTCCTATATCATTGCTTGGTCGTCGAGGATCTCGGCCAAAAAGATTTATCCCGTGGTTCATCCATTTGTTAATAAACGCTGTTACAACTTTACGCAGACGAAATACCTCGTCGTCTTTATCGCGTCCTTTAATAATCACCAAATGGAATATCCAATCATCTGTCCAATAACCCAATCAACTCGAAATCTTCGAATCGATTTAACTCCAGTTTCAGATAAAATTCCAAAATTTCGAAATACAACTGTTCGCCTTTAACCATTCTGTGATTTCTAGATTCTCCCAATTACTAAAATTGCTATGTTTCACTCTCAATATCCGCATCGATTTACTACGTGTAATTTAGAAATTTCATTGCTACATAATCGAAGTACGAATCTGGAGAATTTTGGATTTCGAACGATCCAAGGATCAAAATCACGGGATACCGTCTCCGCAAGCACACGGATCCTCGACGATCGAGATCTATGCGCACTTTCAATAGAAAACAACTCACCGTACGCGATGGTAGGTGGGGTCGTATTCGGACCAGACCGTCGGGTTACCATGGCGGCCATGGTGACCATGTTCGTTTTACCGATGGTGAGCGTGGACGTAAGTAAAAGGACAGAAGTAACCAACAATGTGAGAGCAGCGTCAATGCGGCCGAAGAGAAGAGATAGAGAGAGGCGGAGATGTATATTTTTCATGGTTTTTTTTTTTTTTTTTTTAGTTGGTCAGTCGAACAGTCCAATGAAGGAGATTCGAATTCAAATCGTAGAGTATTTTTGTACGAAGTTTGTTTCATGGTTTTTTTTTTTTGGTTTTGAATGGTCGACATATATATATATATATATTTAGTGGTTGGTTGGTGACGGTTGGTGGTTGGCGAAGAAGATGGTGGTCGAATGTGGCGTAAAGAAAAGAACACATAGAACAGACAAGAGAAAGAGTGCACAGCGTAAGTTGCATTCAAGTCAAGCGTTGGTGCGTTAGAATTTCGAAAATTGTTGCTCTGTACAAGGTGTCTCTTCGTACGTAATAGATCACAGAATGATGACGGAGATTAGGGGAGAGATTGTGTTTAGAATATTCTATGTTGTCTCTTGATTTCTCTTTTGCTTTCTCTGTCAAAGCGATGATACTCATTTTTAGAGCACAACGATGAGATTAACCCTAGAATCTTTCTTTGAAGTATGTGAAAAAACGGTATAAACACCATATTTATGGGGGTTTAAATTTTTTCATGGTTTTTTTTTTTTTTTTTTTTAGTTGGTCAGTCGAACAGTCCAATGAAGGAGATTCGAATTCAAATCGTAGAGTATTTTTGTACGAAGTTTGTTTCATGGTTTTTTTTTTTGGTTTTGAATGGTCGACATATATATATATATATATTTAGTGGTTGGTTGGTGACGGTTGGTGGTTGGCGAAGAAGATGGTGGTCGAATGTGGCGTAAAGAAAAGAACACATAGAACAGACAAGAGAAAGAGTGCACAGCGTAAGTTGCATTCAAGTCAAGCGT